TAAAGATGTTGTAGGTTTCTATATTTATTTTCGTAACATATAAGGTGATTCTACAAAAAAATATAAGTACATGTAAATATATACAATTTATACATAGTAATGCATTACGTATGACAAGTAAATACATATTAAACTTTATTACTGATAATCTTAGTCGTTCATTTACTAAGAAAAATTGTAATTTAAAGTTATAAATATATAATAAAATACCTTGTGCGAGGTGGAAGTGTCTAATCAGGGCGCCGGATCTGCAGTGATTTGAATTTAGACTTGGCTAGCTTATAATACAAACGGAAAGATCTGATTTGATGGTTCATTATGAAAACAGCCAATGAAAATTCTTAACCAATAGTAAATCAAAGAAAATGTTCACCAACTCAATCCACCTGCGCACACAAACTAGTCTAACTTTACTCTCAAAGACATCGTTCAATTAGGTATTTAGAAACGTAGTAAAAATGCAAAATTTTAATAAATATATTCAATATATATAAATCCGCCCACAGTACTTTGACCGACCAGTCAAAATCCCCTACCCAATCCATACATTTTCTTCAATTTTCACAGAAACAGACATTAGTTCATTTTAAAAATGAATACACTGTAATTTCACTTGAAAGCTTTTTCAATGAATGATTTTAGAGCAAACAATAAATCTGTATTGTCCAATGTATTGTAAACATATCAATAAACTTCCAAGTATGTGGATTTTTTGTGGCGAAAATCAATTTGTCCGTTAGCACCAAAAAATTACTTATCCACCTTCAAAAATGTGAGTCAGAGTACATCAAACAAAGTTTTTAAATTATATTGCCTAAAAGGTAAATAGTTTGTTAGTCTTTTCTCGACTAACAGTAGAGATAAAAACAAATTTAATTCCATGCTCTGCAACTGATGTGTTCCATAATTACCTTTGATATACAGCTTTTTTATCTAGTATTTGTCTACTGATTATCACATCAAGCCAAATTAAGAGAGAACATAACATGGTCAAATTTTATACTTAAAATTCACATATTTTTATTTGGGATACTTTACAACATTACTACAGTTTTTCCACGATCATTACTTAACTACATGTATTTTTAAACAACTTATATTCTCTGTTTATGGTCTAAAGGCCAGATTATAGAACAGATTTTAATATTATACTTGATATACAGTTTGGGAAACAATTTGCTTGCAGTTAAATTAAAATGTACATGCCAGGTCTTGCATTTTTCAAGATATTTCATTAAAATGAAATATATGAAAATTTATACAATTTTATTCGATAGCTTAATCTTAAAAAGCAGTATTTTACAGAATAAGCTAAAACACTAAAAACAAGTATAACCAAGAATTATCTTTGAATGTGAACAATTGCAGCATAATTACAGTACAAACTTCAATAATGAGTTTTAATTCCCTGTCTAGGTGGCCACAGACACTTCATTTAGGTACATTCATTATGACATGATACTACATCAGGAATGACTGTAGATGGTCCTTGGTGCGTTGGGGGCAGCTGCAATGGCTACTACACACAGTGCAACATTTGCATTTTTTGCAAGAGCAGATTTTGTCACAATCACCCTGGCAATTGATGCTCTGCTTTAGAATTTCTAAATCCCTTGACTGCATTCCAAGCAGATTGAAATTCTTAAGCATTGACACACGTACACACAGTTCAAGTTTCATTAGGTCTTTCATTTCCTCTTCACATTTGGAAACACTTCTCTTGAAACCATAACATACGGCTTGTCCAGCCCTCCCGTCCCTTGCACAACGCCCAACTTCCTGCCAGTAACTTAGACAGGAAGTTGGGAGTCCCCAATGCACAACAATGTCTACATCAGGAATGTTTATGCCCATACCAAATGCCACCGTTGAAATCAGGACCTGCACATTACCCGACGGCTTCGTAAATTCATTCAAAATTCTCTCTTTGCTAATTGGATCGGTGTTGGCATGAAACATCTCAACTCTTCTATTTTCTAGTGATGGAGAACTGTGCACAAAAAATCTGTCCTCAATAGAAGATATCAACCACAAATAAATGTTGTAGCAAACATTGATGGACCTGACATATAGAAGAATTTTCTTCTGGCTTTCCTTACTCTTGATGTGTGTCACAATCCATGCCAGTTCTTCCTCATACTTTTGCGACGAATTCTTAACATTTAAGAAAATGTTTGGCCTGTATAAATAGAAAGTAGTGTGATAAATTCAGATACAAGCTACACACCAACATAATTCACTTTAATTATAATTCTCTTTTTTCAAGTACATGTAATTCTTATCTTTTTAGGTCACCTGAGTAACTCAGGTGACCTATTGCTATCCGTTTCTGTCCGTCGTCGTCCGTCGTGCGTCGTGTGTCGTGTGTCGTGTGTTAACATTTGAACATTTTCAGCTTCTTCTCTGAAACTACTCTTCCAATTTTAGCCAGTTTTGGCACAAAGCATCTATGGGTGAAGGGGAACAAAAATTGTGAATTTCATGGCCCCTGCCCCCCTGGGGCCTGAGGGGTGGGGCCAAAACCACTAAAATTAATGCAATCTTTAAAAATCTTCTTCTTTACTCCTGGACATCAAGCAGTCAAACTGTTGGCATAATTTTAATCAGCATAGGGCCCTTTACCAAAATTGTGAAATTCATGGCCCCAGGGTCAGGGGTTCTTGAGTTAGGGCGGGGCTTTGTTGATCATATAGTGAAAATGTAAAATTATTTAGAAATCTTCTTCTTTCCCCCTGTAAATAAAACAGATAAACTAGGTGTATGGTAATGATGACCAAGGGTGCCTCTTTCAAAATTGTGAAATTTGTGGCCCCAGGGTGAAGGGTTCTGGGGTGGGAGTTAATTTAATGTCTATTGATTATATAGGGAAAGTGCGTTACTATAGATAACTCTTTTACTTCTGAAAATTATAGGCAGTCAAACACTTTGCATGAGTATGATTAAGGAATATGCACTAAAATGTCTGTAATAATGTTTATAGACAACGTATGAAATTCAATCATGCACCCGAGAGAGATTTTTCAACCGATTTTAGTATTCCGGAAATATAGTTGCGATGCCGATACATTTTGTGATTTAGAATATTTCACGCATGCGTATACTTGTTATCGGCCATTCAGCGTCTTCCGGCAACTCAGAAGAGTCTTCGGAGAAAGCCAAGCGACATTATACCATTTATACGATTTATTTTGTGTTTTTCTTAGGTTTAACAGTTTGTATTGCGAACGGTGGGTATGATTATTTGTAGTTATTAAGTTTAAACAGCATGGAATGTGAAGTGCTTTTGTGAATTCGATTTCTCGGTAATCGTTTTTGAGGTGACATAATTTTAGACTGATAAAGGTTGCCGGTTCGAGCAATTTATATATGTAACAATAAATTATTTTTACTGGGTATTTAATATGTTGTTTTTGTATTTATGTAGAAAATGTGCCTGAACTTGAAACGTGATGAAATATTTCGTCATTTACAATCATTCGAACGGTACCTAGTGTCGTGAAAATGGCATTTACTGAAAGTGAAAACGGCACTTAGTATATGCAAAACGGCACTTTTTGTGACTTGTACGTGTATTAATATTCTCTCTGTAAGCACTGCATTGTAGCTGTGTAATAGGAATGATTCAGAGTAAAACAAGACTTACCATTTAATCCCCATTAACTGCCCCTGCCTCTATAACTATAAGCAAGTCTGGTACAATCACTAGATTTAGCTATGTAGCTTGATTTATCTATTTAGCTTTATTTACATACCTGAGGTAGCTTTATTTAGCTACCAAATCAATTTATTTTTATAAAAAAAGCCTTCTTCTCAGGGAATGCAGAAAATATAATTTTGATGCAGTGTCAGCAGTGATCATTTTCAACTTTGAAACTTTGAAAAAATCACTCTTGAAGAAGTATCTTTTTCTGCGCAATTGCAATCAAAGTTCTGAAAGTTTTGGAGCTATGCATGACAGTTAGAACAGTTACTCCTTGAATGAAATGACGAAGAAGTCCACACAATAATAGGTCGGTAATTATTCAGCACAATGTGAAGTGATCATACTCAGCCATGCCTCACCGCACACATGAGAGAGGACAGTTAACTAAACAATGGAATTACATGTTTTGCTCTAAATTGTCAAAATGCAGCGATGTATAAATTATCTCTGCTCTGGATCGTATTTTAAAACCTTCTTAGAATAAATATTAATGGCCATTTAATTGCGATTTTTTTGTCTCTTTTAAATAAAAGGAACAACTTTGAAAAGTTGCATTGAAATAGCCAAATAAAGCTACCTGAGGTAGGTAAATACTGTATACAGGGAAATTTTCGCCCCTTTCGCCCTCTTCCTGATTGGGCGAATTTAAAATGCTGCGAATTGAAATTACACAGCATAATTTCTAAAACAAAACTTAGACTGGGCGAATTTAAAACGGAGCAATATATTTCGCAAGTGCAGAAGGGGGAAAATAACACGGGGCGAAAATAACCCTGTATACAGTAACGCTACGTAGGTAATTCTACCTACTTAGCTAAATCTAGTGATTGTACTGGACCTGATAAGCACCCCTAGGTCTTTTCAATTGTCTGGAAATAAGGGCCCCCTGTAATGTGATTAAAATTATCTAGAAGCATATCAAAAATCTGCCAAAATTTGAAGCAAATGAAATAGAAACTTATCTATTATCCAATTTTTTGGTTAAGAATGATCAGTTTAACATAATTTAGGTAGATTATCTTCACATAAAGTAAAGTTAAAAATTATTTTAGTTGTTCTTTTAATTATTTTTGGCGAATTGAGAGCCCTGTTTTTGCTCAAAAGTTTTCAAAACTTAAAATATGACATTAAATATTATGAGGATACCAAAAAAACCGCCCCCATTTTCACAATTTCCTTAGTGCCCAGGATGGTTCATAGGATTTATACGGTATATGCATATCCTTCTCTATCTGAAATTTTAACAGTTTGCAGGGGTTCAAAAATCCTCAAGCCCGACGTCCCGGACTAACAAATTCCGGATCCGGACTCGGCATTTAGAATTCGCCAAAGTCCTGGGACTTGGCTATGTTTCTTGTTTATATTTTTTTATAAGTTAAAAAAATGATCGTAAAGCTAAAAATGAAGCAAATTCTCAAATGTATTAATAATAAGTAAAAATGTGGGTTTGTGGGCGTTAAAATACCCATAAAACATTACGAACATTTCAAAAATACAATCCGTCTTTTTATTTTCTGTTGCGGTAAGACTCTTGCTTTTATGCAATTCCTCATGTTTCCTCCTATATGACAAATGGCAATGAGTTTGTTAAATTTCGGTTTTAGCTGTGACTTACAGCACATTCTAATTCTATTTACTGTAACCGATGGTTTATTCAGTAGTGAGTATTTGTAAAAGTTATTGTAATGTACCAGTAATCTATCAGTCTGGTATTGTTTTGAAATACCCATGTATGACTATATGACAGTTTATGGAGGAAAAATAAAACATATATTAATACACATAGTCTTTATTCATTCAATGCAACAAATGAAAATAAATTATAAGTTACATAAATTTAATGATGTATAGGTAAATATGGACACTGAAATTTCTTCCTCGGACTTGCCTAAAATTTACTCTTCAAGTCCTGGACTTGCCCATGACAAAAAAAATTTTGAACCCCCTGGTTTGTTTACAGCTTGCAAAACATTGTGCAACTGTACAATTCTCAATATCATTAAAAAGGCTATGTAATGACTATGTAAAAGTGCGATATTATAGCATGTTCAGTGTCGGTGAAGCAACATGGATTTTGCAATAATATTGCAAATACCTGGTAGGGGACATTATTTTCCATGTAACATTTTACTTTGGATGCTGGATCTGACCTTTATTTTCCACATAAATGAATTCAAACAATATTTTAACCAAAAAATAAACATGGATGATGTATCTAGGAATGGACACTTTCATACTTGCTTTGGATTCTGAATTAAATCTACATTTTACAGATTAGTGACCAGGGTAATGTTTTATGAATAGGTTCATAATATGACCTGTTCTGAATAAATGTGCAGAAATGGTGCATATAAGGATGAAAACTTCCATATTTGTTTTATATGTTGGAATTAACCAAAATTTTCTTGATATTAAAAGTAAACAGGTTAAAAAATGTTTAAACAGGCCTTTTAAGTAACTATAAGTTCTACTTGATTCATACTTGTATTGATATTGATGTTTAGATATACACTAACCAGAAAAAAAAGATTGTTTGGAACATGTTTAATGATTTTATTTTGATGCTTCTTACCATTTGTATTTCTTTGGTATTTATATTTTGTTTGTTCGGGAGTGTCGTTGGAAACTATATTTATCAGAATAAGATGAATTATACTTGCTTTAGATCTTAAATCTAGCCAACATTTTCCAGATGAGTGACCAAGGTAATGTATATACCCTGCGATGAATATGGCCAGGGCATATAGTGTATGTCATGTTTATCTTCTGTCATTCCTTTGCACATTACATTTAGGTCTGATCAAAGCCCAGTTTCAAAGAAACTATCCAAGATATTTTTATCAAACTTCATTTGATGATAGATATTGATAAGAGCTATGCATCTGCATCATCATTTTTTTTTATGCGCCCGAATTTTTTCGGGACGCATATTGTTTTTGTCCTGTCTGTCTGTTTGTCTGTTTATCTGTTTGTCTGTTGTCAACTTTAACCTTCGCCAAAACTTTTGAACCGTAAAAGATAGAGACTTCATATTTTGTATGCATACTCCTCTAATAAAGTTCTTTCAAATGACATCAAGGTCAATGACCTTGTGACCTTGACTGTGACCTATATGCTAGAAATAGCTTTTTCAACTGTTTGTCATAACTTTTGAACCATAAGAGATAGCAACTTCATATTTAGTATGCATACTCCACTAATAAAGTTCTTTCAAATGACATCAAGGTCAATGACCTTGTGACCTTGACTGTGACCTATATGCTAAAAATAGCTTTTTCAACAGTTTGTCATAACTTTTGAACCATAAGAGATAGCAACTTCATATTTAGTATGCATACTCCACTAATAAAGTTCTTTCAAATGACATCAAGGTCAATGACCTTGTGACCTTGACTGTGATGTATATGCTAAAAATAGCTTTTTCCACTTTTTGCCATAACTTTTGAACCATAGGAGATAGGGACTTCATATTTAGT